TCTACCTCCAGGAGTGTATGGGAAAGAAATGAAAGGCAAGGTGTGTAAACTACACAAATCCCTTTATGGTCTCAAACAATCTCCTCGGGCCTGGTTTGAGAGATTTCAGGCTGCTCTTGTCTCCTTTGGCTACATTCAAACACAATCTGATCATACACTGTTCTTGAAGAGAGATGACTCTCTGGTGACCTTCTTGATTGTTTATGTTGATGATATTGTGGTCACGGGTAATGACATTGAAAAGGCCAGCAAACTGAAAGCATTTCTCAACTCTGAATTTGACATCAAAGATTCGGGAGATCTTCGGTATTTTTTGGGCATTGAAGTTGCTTGATCTAAGGATGGTATGTTCATATCTCAACGCAAATATGTCCTTGATCTTCTTGCTGAAASTGGTAAACTTGGAGCTAAACCTATCTCCACTCCCATCGATCCTAATCATAGGCTTTCTGCCACAGATGGTGCACCTTTGTCTGATAAAGGAGTGTTGCAGAGACTGCTTGGGAAGTTGTTATACCTTTGCATGACTTGGCCAGATATTTCCTATGTAGTAAGTGTTTTCAGTCAGTTTATGCATTCTCCCAAAGATACTCATCTAGCTGCTGTAGAAAGGGTTTGCTACTTGAAAGGTACTCCAGGGAAAGGTATTCTATTTGCTAAGCGTTGTCACATGAAGTTGGAAGCCTTTACGAGATTGGGCAGGATGTATTGATGACAGAAGGTCCACCTCTGGTTATTGTGCTCTKGTTGCTGGGAATATTGTTTCTTGGAGGAGTAAGAAACAATCAATAGTTGCTAGATTTTCAGCTGAAGCAGAATACAGGGCAATGGCTCATGGTGTGTCAGAATTACTATGGCTATGATCCCTTCTAGAGTTGGGTGTGGACTATGAAAAACCAATGATGCTCTATTGTGACAACCAAGCTGCTATCAACATTGCACATAATCCDGTTCAGCATGACAGAACTAAGCACATTGAGGTTGATAGGCATTTCATAAGGGAAAGAGTCTTTTCAGGAGAAGTTTGTTTACCATTTATCACATCAGAAGAGCAA